AGTTCCCACGCACGGGACCCTTGAGTTTTCTGATGTATGTCAAGTTAGAAAAGTAGCCACTTCGTCAACGCAGTAGCAATATGTCTGGGTGAATTGATCGCTAAAATACGTATAATATGTCTCGCTAAAATAGCATGAGCTCTATGTCCCGCACAGCGTGAAGTCACCAAATGATTAATTATAAGGCAGCGTTCAGACTTCGCGACGGCAGCGCTTCGGTCGCGCGTTCGGCGCGATCGATGCGCATGCTTTCGACTGCATCGATCGCGTCGAACGCGCGACCGAAGCGCTGCCGTCGCGAAGTCTGAACGCTGCCTAAGACCCATAGTTAGAATATGTATACGCTTTAAAACCTTTCTGACAAAAACCAGAGTAGCAAGAAAAACAGAAGGAAAAACGTACAAGCTATAGTGGAATGATTCTCATAGAGCAACCAGTCGTCGATGCGGAAACGATCGCTATGCATCCATATGGAATGATCCAGAGTTAAAGCCATGGAGGGAATAAAGCCCATTCTGAAAGTAGAAAGAGATGAAAACACTCGAGTAGCCAGTATGGGTTCATTCTATGCCACTAAAGCCATCAGCCACTGGTCGTCGTTGAGAATTTGAGGACACTTCTAGAACCTTTTTTCGTTACACAGTTTGACAGGCTCATGTAGTGCGACAGCTGAGGGGGCGGGAGTCTTACTAAAATAATCTCAAGCTGTTCCGGAAAAACTGGTCCAATTAATGTCGCTGCTTTCCTCCAGTTTTGCTGACAACGCCGAGGTAAGCCGCCATAAAATCGTTTAGTTACGAAGCACCACTAAAGCAATAAACCCTACGTCCCAAAAGCTCTCACAAACGTTCAAGTACAACAGGATACTAAAACAGCAGAAATCTATTGGAGACTGCGAGGGATCAGAGCGAACCTCTGATAAAAGAGGAAAATGACCTCAAATAAAAGCGAAAAATGACTACAAATAAAAGCGATAGAGGAACAGATGAAAGGATTTTATGACTTCCTCCACAAATTCTCAACCTTTGCAACTCTCAAGTGAGAGATATTGAGCCTAACAAATTTCATCCAGAAACTATTACCGCTGAGCGGCCCGATTTACCTCTCTATAAAAATGCTGCCTTTTGCTGCAACTTCGAAACTTCAAAGAACCAACATAGAACACAAAACCAGGGAAATAATATACCTGAACATTAAGAAACACAAAGCCTCGCGATGGGGGAACGAACCAGCAGTTTCACATCTCTGGTAAGCGTAGACATATGTATGCCAGCCGCAAGCTAATGCAAACGAGCGGTCATCACCTGCCGAAAAAAAATATGGAATATGACTGAGTATTCACCTTCGCCCAAGCAAAGCACAACATGCTATACCGTAACATAACAAGTTCATAAAAAAGAAGTACCCACGTAATAGTCTTTCATTCGCCTTGATCCAATATAGCGAACGGAAGCTGTTCTTGTCAGTTTTTTGCTTACCCATAGCTACGACTGGTTGAAGAAAGAACGAATTCAGTCAACTGAAGCGAACTAAAAATGCTATAAGACTAGCCATGAAAATAATTATAACTGAAGAAACCTTACAGAAATATTCGTTGAAAAAACGCTGGAGGAAATTCTTTTGTCGGTTAAAGCGGAAATTGCGTGCAGCCGCTGAGGCAGACTGGGCGATTCTGAATATAAAGATTGTTTGTACACAAATAATCAAAAAACTGTTGGGACGACTGCCTCTACACTCACCTTCGCGGCTTCTTCCATTAGCTGATTCCAGTCCAAAAGACCTTCTGGCCCGATCACCTTAGGCATATCGACTTGATGAACAATCGAGTCAGCTTCCGGCTGAAGATGTTTTAACGAGCAAAATTTCAGCATAAGAAAGCTGACTTATGGGCAAAAATCTTGACCCCAAGTCGGTTCCGGACCCGTACCTCACGCTTAATGGGCAAGTGCGCTAACCGGTTACGCATCCGGGGCCGCTCTTACGCTCCCATTAACGGCTTTGAAATTTTAGCATATCAATTCTAAAACCGATAAAAAGCAGGAAGTAAGGAACTTCAATATGCCGCTTTGTCTTGCTCGAGAATTCGGGTCGATTCTCCAGAGGCGTAAAAAAAAAAAAAAAAAAAAAAAAAAAAAAAAAAAAAAAAAAAAAAAAAAAAAAAAAAAAAAAAAAAAAAAAAAAAAAAAAAAAAAAAAAAAAAAAAAAAAAAAAAAAAAAAAAAAACATCGACAACAATTCACACTTCAATACATGGTTGCGCAACGGAAGCGGAAGGAGCTAATCAATAGGTTGACTCCGAACCGGGCAAAAACCTTTCTGTCAATAGCTTTTACCCGCGAAATGGAACTTTCCCCTCATCGAAAAACCTGAACAACAGTACATACCTTGTGAAAAGATATCTGCACAGTGAATATGGCCTCTCCGTTCTGAACTGCTTTGACCAGACGTGTGCAAAAGCTACGTCCGTCTCGAATGCGATCAACCATATAGAATGGCGCATATTGACGTTTCCTATGACAATTCCTTTCGTTTCCTCCTAGCCATGTAACGTGGGACATGAGGAACACTCTTAAACACATACCACTCTGCACAAACTAACAGCATATGGAAGAACTATTTGGCCAAAATCCGGTGCTACTGTAGCGTAGCAGGACGAAAGTGACCTGTTAAGAGAACATAGTTCGGTATCATATAACAAACATAAGCACTACTAACACCTCGGTAGACGAAAAACCCACCTGACCAATAACCTGACCTCCGTAAACTACTGGCAAAGAATTTCGTCCTTTCAACAAGTGGCGAGCACTGAAAACACAGCTTGACTGGTGCAGAAGGGTGCAGACGAGTTGAGGTAATCATGCGGCAAGGCGTCCATTCCCCGCCTGCGATACGGGCCGCGGGACTCATGGGTTTGGGCCCTTCTTAGAGCCCGCATTCTCGGTAGACAAAGGAACCTAGACGCCACTCCGCATGACTCATCTCAACTGCGTTTGCACTGAAAAGAGCAGAAAAAATTTCCTCATAACCCACAGGAAGAGATTTTTGTCAATTTTCTCCAGGTTAAGAAAAGTCTTCCGCACGAGATGAAATGTCGACGTAGGTTACGTTCGTTAGCGATGTCAAAGTAGCACGTGATGGCGACGATGGCGACATCTCTTCCTATAGACCGAAAAAACTGCAGGTAAAACGAAAAAAAACAAGTGGTCATCATGGAACAACCAGCCTACAGCAAGTCTCGGTTAGCTAGAAAACTGATCAATAGGAATCATAAGTAAGCAAAGATAGTGTAAATCTACGTCAGAAAGTATGATAGCTTGAAAAGGGCTAATGCCGTTTGAACGCAAGCAATTTTGGCAGCGAGCTCATTTATAAAGTGCCAAGATCACCAAATCCGCTGAAAACTTGTATACATGGGTAATTTAACATCCTGATTACGAATATGACACTCATTCTTGGCGCTGGCGCCAAGAGAGGACACTACGATTACCTCCTGGGCTCAGCCTTAGCAGAGCGCAGATAATCGTAGTGTCATCCATTAGCGCCAGCGCCAAGAATGAATGTCATATTCGTAATCAGGATGTTAAATTACCTCTATATACAAGTTTTCAGCGGATTTGGTGATCTTGACACTTTAAAATGAGCTCGCTGCCAAAATTGTGTGCTTCCAAACGGCATTAACCCTTGAAAAGTCGATGAACAAGGTCATCTGCATTAACAATACATAACCTAATACTACTGATACTACCGATACTATGAAATGTACAATGCTATTAGCCCATTAAAGCAACAGCAGAGAACTAGCAGGCTAACGAAACAATGTCCAGAAGGGGACACTACGTTGTGTTAGGCTTGTTCAGCCTGAGGGAAACATCGTGGGATACCTTCCCAAACTCTTCGCATTCGTGAGGTACTTCTCTCAGTCAACCCATTTCCTAAACTACAAAGTCGAATGACGAAAATTAAGCTGGAATCAAAAACAAGTGGCACAACGAATCGATAAGTATGTATGGCAGAATATACGGAGCATTGCGACCCTGAACAGGACGCTGCGTGACGCCTTGTTCAGTCACTGTGGCAAATAAGCAAGGCGCAACACGCCGAACAATACGCCCACCATAACCGCCCGCCCACAAACGATCGCACAGCCACAGCAGTGCTGGTGCTCCCATCGCTTCGTATTTATGAAGGACATGATCCATTAAAAATGCGTACCGGATGAGGTTCCTGCACGATTCTGAATGGAACAGCGCCCATGTTGCTTTCTGCCAGCCGTATACTCGTCCATGTCGATCAGAAGATAGACTTCTGACACCCCTCCTATAGTTCCAGGTCGAGCACCATTTTATCGTGCCGCAATCGCCTTTAAAGAGATTCACTCTAATATAACGATCGAGCGAAGTAACGCCGACCCATGCGATTCTGCCAATTGAAGCAGAACTTTACAAGCTTGACGAAAAACAGTCATCTCGTTATCTCAAAACCCATTGCCACGTTCGTTGTATGCACCTTACTAGTTACATAAAATGAAAGCTCAAGAGTCAAAATAGTGAAAAAAAAACTATGGTGAAAAAAAACCAGTAAACCCGCTTACCTCATCTCCTTTAGAGTCCATACTGGATAGCTAAGCTACTCGCTAAAGCTCGTTAATCTCCTAAAAATTTGTCACAATTAATGAAATAATATTGTTAAGATTGACCAAAAAGAAGCATCGCACAGCGCAATCGCGAGCAATCAAGTTGAGGAATCGGTTATACCATTTATTCCAATGATGACAACAAATCAGTAACGACATTAATAGAGATCCCTCAACGCACTCACAGCACATGTGCGGTCTCTTTCTCGAAACATAGACAAGGAGGTAAACAGGCAGATGTTTAGAACATATAGTAAAACAATCTCAAACGAACCTTATAGGACAATCAATAACAGAGTAACAAGGAAAGAAGTTAACTGCTATACAAAAACGAAGAGATTTAACAACAAAGAATGCTTTCGTAAGATCATCGAACCATTGCAAGTTTCTCATATATTTCTCTTTTGTCCTCTGGTAACTTGTCAAACTTTTTCCTTAACTTCTTCAACCTCGCTTCTGCCGGTAGATCAGTATATCTGGAAGGGAAACTCGATAATATATAACTCGACAATAAAAACAAATTCCACACTTGTCTTGTTTCGTCGAGCAAAACAAATCGAACGCAGTCTTTTCTTCTTTCGGCATTCCGTTGGATTTATTGGATTTCGCTTTCGGAGTTCGTTGTGCTGGGAACACCTGTAACAGGGGCGTTAAGTCCGTTTTACTCCCAACGTTCAGTGAACCTTCTGCAGTCCTTCATGAATCATCCATACAAATGCTTCAAAATCCGTGGACGTAGAACGAGTCTCTCTCTCTCTCTCTCTCTCTTCTCTCCTCGTGAATACCCACTTGAGTAATGGAACGCTGCGTGTTCGTGACAAACCAATTTCATGAGCAAAAAAAAAAGAATTAGTCTTACCTTGCGCCGATGGAGTTTAATCTTGTGCTCCACGAATGCCTTTTGTTTTGGTAGCAGTACACCATTATTATTGGCCAAAAATCCTTCCAACTTTTCGACAAAAGATTTCTGAAATACAGTGAAGTATGCAAGCAATAAGATACTCATCCGATTCAATAAGTTAACAATAATAGTAACAGCAACCGATAACTCGTTTGTTTATTATTAAGCACTTGATAAAACTACTCCACGTCGTTCCCCACTCGGACGAGTAGTTCAGTGACTGCTGCTTCCTCAGGTGAAATTGCCTTCAATATCCTGC